TTCTTAAATGGGACAACCTCGATTCATTTCACACCGTAAATACTCGCAAAACACATAAAACACTATTGTCATGTTTTTGTGGAAAACTGTTTATGTGGAAGCACCCTCCAACCAATGTCTTGGCGATAGAACCCACCTTGCCAGTTCACTTCCTCGACAGCTTGGTAAGCTCCATCCCGGGCCTCTTGAAGGTCTATTCCCTTGGCAGTGACTCCAAGAACACGTCCCCCGGTGGCAATGAAGTTGCCATCTGAATCAAGTGCAGTACCGGCATGAAATATCTTAACAGACGGAACAGCCTGCTCTGCTTCGTCAAGGTTTTGAATCACGCTTCCCTTTACATAGCTCTCAGGGTAGCCATTGCTTGCCATCACTACCACCATGGCAGAGCCCGAAGACCAGTTCAAAGACACTCCACTCAGTTCACCCTTGCAAGCTGCTAGTAAAACTTGTGCCAGATCAGATTCCAAACGAACCATTAATACCTGTGGATCATAAAAAGCAAACATTTACTGAAAAGGTTGGATTAATTTATGTTATTATGACCAATAAGAACATTCAGACTATTCTATTGAAGAGTAAATATGCCTATGCTACATGATGAACACAATGGAATTCTGTGTGCATTTTTTTTTTTTTAATGTAGACATGGTCACATGGATGCACCCAATAGACGACCGCTACATGAAGCCTCAAAATTACAGCTGCATATCGCTAACAGGCAATGGCATCATCATGCTTAAAATATCATTTTGAAAAACAGGAGAAACACCATGGATGGACAATAAGGGAGACCAGACCTATTTTTATTTGTTTCCCTCTTTACTGTTCAAAGAAGTTCTTCTTCATTCCATTTTTCCATGTCATTTGAAAAAAGTTAATCCTGTTAAAAGCACACCATCCTTGCCAACCCTTCTACACTAACCCTGTCCTAACAAAAGAAAGAAATAAAGAAGTCTATTATGCCTGGAAAACCATTCGACCTAGTGCATATTAAAATCCACAATGACCAATCCAAGTTAGGATAGGTTGCTTACCCGATTATAGGTTGTTTGAAACCGCTGCGTGCGTAGTGAAACCCTAGCTCCTGACAAAATAGGACAGGGAAACCCTACCCCAACATAGGGGTGTTTTGGCTCTTACTTGCTTGCTATGTGCTGTCAGAGTGTGTCTCTACAGGTTATGTGTATCAGTTTGCAAGTCTGAGTATCAGGCCTGCGGGCATCAGTATTTTGGGGCAATCAGTTTTACCTGAGGGTATTGGTTTACAGGCAGAATTTGGGGCAGAACTCAGTAAAGATTCAAATCTGTTTTGGCAAAATCAGGCTGAGATGCTGTCTGTTTTCTCTTTTGCTAGTAGTCTGGGAACCATAGCTTCAGAAGGCTCCGATATCCCCCGGGTACATTGGACTAGTGCTGATAGACTCTGTTAGGTCAGAAATTCAATTCAAGGGCAACCAGTGTTCTTTCGCTGAGGCAAGGCAAGGCTAGTCGGGGCTTACCGGTCCATCTAATCCGTCAGTCGCCAGTCACATCACCTTTGTTCAGACTCAATAGACCGTGATGGCACAGGGTTCGGAAGAATTTGTGGCCGTGATAGCAGCATTAAATCAGGGAACTACCATGCAGAATGAGACCAGTGTTGAAACGCAATGCCAATCTGGGGCATTTGCCTCACATCCAGCTTTGGGACCCCAGCCGAACTTTGACCTACTTCCGCCAGTTGAAGATTTGCAGTGTCCGAATCCTTGAGAAAGGTTGACTCAAGCTCAGGTGCTCGGACCCCTGGTGCAGCCTAATGAGAGACTTTATTCCCTTGATGTTAATGAGCTTAATCCAACTGCAATAAAAATTGCGAACCTTGAGAGGCAATTCAAAAAGGCACAGGGCCTTAACTCCATTCCCGACATTGAGGATAGGCATACTGAGGTTGCCGTACGGCTCCCAGATAGATTCAAAATGCCATATATTGACCGTTTCGACGGGTCTGAAGATCCAATGGTACATATCCGACTTTTCTTGGATGTTCTGAAGCCGATGGGTCTGACTAAGCCACAGAAACTCTCCCTGTATGGAAGAACCCTGTCGGGTGTAGCAGCCATTTGGTACGCTAAGTTGGAAGATAAAGTGAAGCAAAATTGGGAAGAATTGGCTGAGGCCTTTGTTGATCAGTATTCTTACAATACCCAAGTTGAAATGACCATCTAAGAGCTCGAAGCAACCCGCCAGAACCCAACAGAGCCTTTTGTGGAATTTGTTGCGAGATGGAAAGCAAAGGCAGCACAGATGATAGATCACCGCCCTTCTGAGAGGGATCAAGTACAGATGATGGTGCGAAACCTCGAGCATGATATGTTGCAAAAGTTGATAGTCGCTCCGCTATTCACTTTCAAAGGTTTGCATGATCTGGGGGTTCAGATCGAGAATGCGTTCAACAGTGGGATCAGTCCCAGAACAAATGAACCGACGAGGAAGGTTTTTGCAGGGAGTACCAATGCTGGTAGTAGCATCATTCCCAAACCCAACGAGATCAATGTAGTCGCCACAGCCAACCCTTTTGCCAAACCAAGCCTACAAACAGCCGGCCCAGCCCGAGCTCAGGGCAGAACTTTCACTCCCCTCTATATGAGCTTGACTAGCGCACTAAAAGTCTTGATGGAAAGAGGGCATCTCAAACCCCTCGATCCTCAACCTCTACCTGACCCACTCCCAGCCAGACATAACCCCTCAAAGTACTGTATGTACCATCAGCAGCGCGGTCATGGCACCGACCGTTGCTACCGCCTTCGTCATGAGGTCCAAAATCTCATCGACAACCGGACGATAGCTCCACATTTAGCCCCCAATGACCAAGTACCTCATCCACATCTCAATTTGATCCACACAATGGCCGTCCCTTACGACCCCAGCGTATACATCACCCCAGCCCATCTACCCAAGCCTGAGGTGTTTATCCCGGAAAGCATGGACTTATGCATGATGGGTGCATCTGAACCCCAATTATCTCAAACCCATGAACCCACTACTTCTGAGCTGATGAGGATGATCGAAGATCTTCATAGAACTGTGGCAGATCTGGCCTTTGGAGTTTTGCCTCCATCATCGACCGCTTCACATACCAGGGAGTTCATGTCAAAAGGCTCCTCAGGACGGGCTGCATTGGGAGAAGGCCAATCTTTTAGCAAAGTGGAGGCCAGTGATAAGAACAAGACAGGGGCAAGCATTAGTCCCCATGAACACCTTCAGTGGGATATTGTGGCTTTGAAAGCCGAAGGGCTGAACAAACAGCAAGTACTCGCAGTTGTTGCAAAAACTGTGGACGATATTTTCGCCACTCAGAATGAGAGCAGTCTGAATCAAGGGGCAAGCCGGGAGAAAGGCCGTTGTACTGGGAATGTTCCTTTCAGCTCTAAACCCTCGCTCGGAAGAGATCAGTAAACCCAGTCAGCGCCTACCAATCCCTTTACTGGTGCATCCAGCAAAAATCCACAAACCTCAAAACATCCACCTCGAGGCTAGAGGGTGTTCGCGCCACTGTACATGTCTCTATCAGCGGCCTTGAGGGTTCTGATTAAAGAGGGGGATCTGAAACCCCTGGAGCCGCGACCACTACCAGATAGACTTCCTCCCTCCCATGATCCGGCCAAGTACTGTGCCTTTCATCAGCAAGTCGGCCATGTCACTGATAATTGTTTCCGTCTTCGCCATGAAATACAAGATCTGATTGACAATAAGGTCATCGTCGCACCAACTCAGCAAAGTCTATCGTCATTGGATCAGTGAACCGGGGGGACAATGTGATGTGATCGGGGGATGAACCACCTGCGGGCGGCGCTCAGTTTACTTCAGATGTGGCGTATGGCACACACAATTTTGAGCAATGTGCGAACACTAGTTTTTGTACTTTCTGACTTGGGTATTAGGTCAGTTTTGTTGTTTTGTATATGGTCAGTCTTTTTGTACTACATCAGTCAGGTCTGTCTTGTTGTATCGAGTCAGTCCTGTTTGTTAGAGTCAGGTGATTCCGGGGGTGTTACCTCAGGCATCACTATTTTGTTTTGTGTTTGTCTTTTCGCTTTCTTTTGAGTCTGTTTCTGCCTTGGAGCCAGTTACACCAACAGTTATGAATGAAACAGCAGTGGTTTTTTATGCTTTTGTGCTTACTTCTGCCTTGTGCCAATTGTGCCAGAAAGTTGAATGGAACGACAGTGCATTTCACCTGCTTCTCTGTGCTTTTAAGTCATTGCGTTGACCTAAGTTTTTTCAAAGCTATTTTTGAACATTGTGATGAAAACGAAGATGAAGGAATTCCTCGGGTTTTTGCAAAAAATTTGATCATTTGAGAGAAAGAGAGGCATGCTAAGCCTTTAATGATCGAGATCATACTTGTTAATGTGAGTACTGAGAAGGATCCTGGCTTGATCCAGATTGGTCTCACACTGTCTTCAGCGCGAGCGACTAGTCGCTTTCTTAAAAGATTTCAAAGAAAAAGTGTTTTGCGCTGTCCTGCGAAGACCTGTGTGGAATCACTCTTGAGATTGTGCAACCTAGGATCGCTCTCAGCCTCAAGACTCGACCCCTCATTGTCAAACCTTGGACTTAAATTCAGAATGTTCAATGGTCAATTACAACGTAAGGCCTGTGTGGTCAGATTCAAAGCAGCCCTCGAACAAAAGGCAGGAAAGTCAGATCAAGAAGATCAGAGGTCATCAAAAGAAGCTTGCAAAGCTAGATCAGAAGCACCCCTAGAACTAGGGGAAAAGAATTTCAAATGTGCTCGAAGAGCCGAAGATGGATCATTCCACAAATCGAAGAAGGTTGGCAAGAATGCCAAATCCCAGAACGAAGGAAAGAAGACAGTTTCTGTTGAAAAACAGCTGAGTTCCTATCCACAACAATAAGGGCAAAATTAGCCTCCGATTGGATGGACTCCTGCATCGTTAGCGAACAGTAGCCATTCTCCTAGATTCAAATGACTTCAGGATCCTAAAACTATTTGACATGGACAAAGCTAAATTTTTACCCTTGAGAGGCTCGTTGGGTCGAAAACCCGAAAGGGCGACCCAGGCAAAAGTTAGAGCAAGACAAAAAAAAGAAAAGAACAAAAAAGAAGAAGAAAAAAAATGCAAAGAACAAAAAAGAAATGAAGAAAAGATGAAAAAAAAGAAAAAGAAAAGAAGAACAAAGCCCGCAAGGTTGAAAACCCAAAAGGGCGGCATTGGCAAAAGTTAGAGCGCAAAAGGAGAGGTTAAATACCCGAATGTACCTTAACCCCGAACTACGTGAGGCTTGATTCCCATCTTTGGGATACGTAGGCAACTTCATTCTGAAGTCCAACCGTAAAACACTCCAATTCGACTGTGTCCATGTAATGGTTTTGATCATCTTTGCCTTCTCTGTATCCGAGAGTTCGGTTGTCATCGTCACTTTGAGGACTGATTGCAATGCGCTGCGATGCTATCCAAACAAGGGGCAACTTTCCGTTGCCATACAGTGTGCCACGGTGCCATTCAAACAAGGGGCAACTTTCTGTTGCCGTGCAGCTCTCTTCAAACAAGGGGCAATTTTCCTTGGGATCTAAGGTTGTGCATCTCAAAGTAAGTTCTGTGCTCGTTGAGCAGTGGCTGTTGGCAAAAACAATTTTTGAGAATTTTTATTGAGGTTGACTGATCTCTTGAAAATTATTCCATCTTTTCCAAAACTGGACCATTTCTTGGACCCAAAAAAAAAAAAATTTCAGTGCTCATAGCCTGACTTGCATGATTTTCAAATCAAAAATCGAACAAGAATGTTAATCTAACTCTCATGTTGGTCAAAATTGTTTTGGTAGAAAGCAAAAACAAAAAATGGTCAAAATGATGAAATAGGGGCACAGTTGAGTTAGATGTTCTGTCTTCCTCCTGTTGTCAGCATACTTGCCAGAAAGGGAACTCTACTTGCCGAAAGGGCACCGTATTCGCCAGAAAAGGGCACCACTAAGGCTGACCGCAAAACGGCTGAAAGTTCTCTTATCCTCCAAGCAACGAGGTATCAAGCCAAGTGCGAAGCACGAACCGGAATGGGACAAGATATTCCACTCCTTTATCTAGACAGATCTGATCACATCCAAACTCCCCAGTAGAGCATCGTCAATCGATGTCAGCTGTAGATTTGCTACACACCTAATTGTAGCGTAGCCCCTCTGTGGAAGAAACTCACTGTTGTGAACAAGAAGAAGAATCTAGCGGAATGCTAGGGGCAAGAGCCTACAAATTTCTATTTATCCATCAACCACCTAGGGGAGGGATTGAAAAATGAGAGATTGAAGAATAAAGAGATGTGCGATGAGAGAAAAAGTGAGAAAATGGCTTTTTCAGAAAAATAGAGATTGAGTGCCAGAGTGATGTGAGAATCATGAATGAGAAAAGATGGGAAACACTACCCGAAGAAACTGGCTCCTCACGTACTGAGAGGTCTCTCGTCTTTGTAACACGTCTGAGTGTCGTGTCTTTTGTTTTGTCTCGATTCTTGCTTTGAGTCATTCCAAGCGTGTCTCGATGTGTTTAGGTTGTTTACCTTTTGTTTTCCGTTATTGAGTCTTTTTTTGCTGTGTTCAGTTGTAGGATCAATTCCTGGTTGAGAAATCATTTCTCAATTTCAAAAAAATCATCTCGTGCTCAGAGTGTTGTGCCATTCTCCACATTTGTGCAAAACATTATTTGTTCTTTCATAAAACTGCAGGGTCCACTCCCGAAAAGTGTGAATGGTAAAACAAGGACCTATCTAAAGCTATGTGGGTTCCAGGCTGCGAAGCAAAAGAAAAGAAGGAAAATTTTCAGCATCTGAGTGTGTTTCACCTTCAGAAAATTCCGAGACTGCACACCAGGTGCACCTTCTCAGGCCTCGCCATTTCTCTGGAGTATGAGTGTATCTCGACCCTAAGTGTAAGCCTGCTTCAAGTCAGAATGGCAGCCCAAGCAGCACCCGAGGGTTTCACATGCAGATGTTATCTCTTCCAATATAAACAGGGTGTCCCCTTTTGAGCTGAGCGTATTGCCAAGTCCTCCGAAAGGTAAATCGGAGGCACCATAGTACGTGTTTGATGCCCTTCCATTGCATAGAATGTGCACTTTCATATACACTTCTGTTACATGCGTGCCGCGCATCGTTATGATTCATGCATAGAACATGCTTGCTTTCAATTCTGCATAGAATATGCTTTTAATATTGCATAGAATATGCTCCTGTTTCTTGCATAGAAAATGCTCATATCTTTTGCATAGAAAATGCACTCTTCCATACTTGCATAGAAAATGCACCTCATTTGCGTAGAACATGCATTCACTCGCACTGTCTTGTGCATCTTGTGGTTGTATCTCACTCGCACTATTTTGTGCATTGCATATCAATCGCGCTGTTTAGCGTATCGCACTGTTTCGTGCATTGCATATCAATCGCGCTATTTAGCGTATCGCACTGTTTAGTGCATTTCAAAATCAATCGGGCTGTTTAGCGTATCACACTTTCTTGTGCATTTCAAATCACTCGCGCTGTTTAGCGTATCGCACTGTCTTGTGCATTTCAAAATCAATCGCGCTGTTTAGCGTATCGCACTTTCTTGTGCATTTCACATCACTCGCGCTGTTTAGCGTATCGTACTGTCTTGTGCATTTCAAAATCAATCGCGCTGTTTAGCGTATCGCACTTTCTTGTGCATTTCAAATCACTCGCGCTGTTTAGCGTATCGCATTGTCTTGTGCATTTCAAATCAATCGCGCTGTTTAGCGTATCGCGCTGTCTTGTGCATTTCAAAATCAATCGCGCTGTTCAGCGTATCGCACTGTTTAGTGCATTTCAAATCACTCACGCTGTTTAGCGTATCGCATTGTCTTGTGCATTTCAAATCACTCGCGCTGTTTAGTGTATCGCACTGTTTCGTGCAATTTACTTTCACGCTTTCTTGCGCATCGCACTGCTTTGTGCATCACATTGTTTCATTTGTGCTATTTTGTGCATCGCACTGTTTTGTGCAGTTTACACTCACGCTCTCTTGCGCATCGCACTATCTTGTGCATTTCATTATATGCTCTCTCTTATCTTGCATAGAAAATGCTTGTAGCATTTGTCAGTGCATTGCGTCGCACTGTTTTGTGCACCTTACTTGCATTTTGCATGCATTCTATCACGCTTTCATGCGCACCTCACCTGTACTTGTTAGTACATTGCATTGTTTTGAATACAAACC